ACACACGCACACATACACACACACACACGCCTACTTTGAGTTCGATAATCTTTGGTTCCCACTCTCCAGCCTCCAGTCCAGCAGGAAGTCCTGGCTCGCCTCGATCGCCCTGATACAAACAAACAAAAACACAAGAGCATGCAAACACAATGCCAAAATGCAAATACAAAAGTAGTCGTGCTCAGTTAGCATAGTAAAGCATTCCTTGAAAAAAAAGATGAGAATGGTTATTATGAATATTATTATCGCATGAGAATGAAACGATATACGGGGAGCCATTTACGGATGGGATCGGCGGATCGGGCCGATTGCCCGACAAAAAGAAACGTGTTTGTTTTCAGTTTCAGACGACCGATTCGACTGATCGGCCCGATCCAGACGTAATTGGCACCCCGTAAATACAGAACGCAGAATGTCTGGCAGTAATGGAACCATACAACATGCATAACGCCTAGCAGTAATGAAAACATACAAGAAGACAGGTTCAAATCCTTACAGAGATGTGAAATCTGGTTTATTTGTTGAGCTTTCAAAGCTCTCTCTCCCCCGTGGCTTGAAGCTGTCCTATCTGCGACAGACGATGTAATAATATGGTAGGCCTCGCCTCTAAAATCTGTTTCTCTTCAGCTATGGCAGTTATATTGTAGGCCCCGCCTCTAAAGTCTGTTTCTCTTGGGCTATGGCAGTTATATTGTAGGCCCCGCCTCGAAATTCTGTTTCTCTTGGGCTATGGCAGTTATATTGTAGGCCCCGCCTCTAAAGTCTGTTTCTCTTGGGCTATGGCAGTTATATTGTAGGCCTCGCCTCGAAATTCTGTCCTTTCGGCGATGGATGCAACAATGGCTGGCCCCGCCCCTAAAATAACCTTATACTTCCGGCAAGGGGGTGTAACTCACAAAATACAATGTTCTACTTCTTGCATTCTGCGTGGCAGAAGATATTCGGACACGTCTCCGGCCAGCACCTAGGAACTATTAGGAGACGTACTCACGCACTCAGATGCACTGCTTTGGGCGGTCAAACTGCGTATTATTTCTGCAGATCACACATATAGCCACTAAAACTGTAGCAAGTCAATTGTTTTAAAGAACATTTCAAACTTAACTGCAAAATATCAAGTTATGGGTTAACCCCCTGTAACCCCCCTGATTTTTTTAAACTTGGTCTAGAGGTTCAAAGCATTTTGATCTCCGTCTGAGCCGTCTCTGAATAGATACTGCGTATACTGCGTGGCTTCGGAATGGAGAGAACACCAGGTTTGTAATCATGAGATTGCTGGTTCGGGGGTTTGAGGATTAACTCGCTCCAATGTTACATCCTTAACAAAGTTACATTACACAAATTTTCCCATTTGACTAATGAGGACGGGCGTTATATCCAGCGGTCTCGCCTCTTAAATTACCTTACACTGTTGCAGGGGGAGTTGAACCTATACAGTTTCGCCCATTTAACCCTATCCGTATGTCGTGTTTTACTATCGTATCCATACGACGTGGGGAACTCTGTGCCACCACTTTCCAAAGAGAAAATTTACACGTTAATCCGATCTGTACGTTTTGCGTAGCAGTGTGTCAAAATGATTTTTTTAGAAATACTGAAAATTTCAAAGAAATCTTCGTACTAGAATTATTCTAAAATGTGAAGAACACAATCCCGGGGGTGCAAAATGATCCCAGGGCGTGCGGAGAGGGTTAAGAAAGTTACATTACACGAAATTTCCAATTTGGCTATGAGGGACGGACGTTATATCCAAAGGTCCCGCCTCTTAAATTACCTTACACTGTTGCAGGGGGAGTTAAACATATACAGTTTCGGACATTTGAGAAAAAAATCTTCTGATTTACTTTCCACAAAGGCTCGAGTTGTCCGTCGTCAAAATGTCATCTCTATATTTAGAGAGTTACATTCAAAACGAAATGATTCTTTTAAACTCCCAAAGCAAACAGAAAAACTGAGTCATTCGTCTGAGGGATCGCAAGGTCGAGAGAAAATTTTCATAACAGGACGGATAATCGTGGACCTCGAACTCCAACATTTCGCAAGTTTCCCTAAGTTTGCCACTGACACTTTCGAGAAACGAGAAACGAAACATAAAAAAGTGATAGTTTGGTTGTTGAAGCAACGAAACAAGTCTTTGTCGTTTACAAACCCTTAAAAAACTATATTTTTCTCCCCCACGAGCTCTCTCTCTCTCTCTCTCTCTCTCTCTCTCTCTCTCTCTCTCTCTTTCTCTCTCTCTCTCTTTCTCTCTCTCTCTCCTTCAATATCAAACACACAGACACACACACACACACACACATACACACACACATACACACACATGTAAACCTGTACACCCCCACTCCACCACCCAACACACTGCATTCACAATCCTCACATTAGGCTCAGCGAAGAGACTGCAGAAGAGCTCATTTCCTCGTTTGTCTAGCAGTCAAATAATTCATTTCGCATTTCAACACCAGGTCCCTTTCATTTCAATGGCGCATGTCTCGTTCTTGGATTTTACATTTTCTGCCTTGCAAAAACCCGTCCTGTTGTTCTGCCTTGCAAACTACCCCCCCCCCCCCCCCCCCTCCCTCCCTCCCTCCAATAGAGGCTCCATGCAGGGTAGATGAGGCGTCGCTTTGTGCCTCTCAGAACGCCGAGTGATTAGCAACCATTCCTCGAAGAAGTAAGCTGTTGAACAGTTCGTGCTCTCGTTTCTATGGGGTTTAAATCAAAGCAACGTCTAGTTTGATTTGCATGTTTTCTGGATTGTGCATTTAGAATACATGTTAGTAGTTATGCACATGCTCATTACGAACGCATCGCTCCATAAGCGCTCATATATCATGCCAACTGCTAAAAGAAAAAAAAACAACCAATCCCACCCCCCTAAAAAAGCCCACAAAACGTTCGTCTCTCAGCATGCTCTTCCATTTAAATAATATGCTGGTTTTTTTAACAACTTACTGGCAGTTTTCAGGTTTGAGGTAAAACGAAAGGTCAGCTTTACATGTGAGCCCTTTCCTCGCCACAACAGGTCTGAACTCGATGTATTATGTGATCACACATGTCTAAAACATATGTGAGACAGCGGGGTGGAATCAGGCTCTCGTCAAAATAATCAAAGTGAAGAAACCTGCATTTTTTCGCAGGTGTGTGAATTTTTATCAAATTTTTGTTTTTTAGCTCAACACCTTTCATGCCCATCAAAGGACTCATTTCTCTGTGAATTTTTCTGAAAAACGTTGATTAAAGGCACAGAAAATGTAAATTTTCTGCTACCGCGGACTCTAAAGCTAAAGTAATAATCTTTGGCGACCATCTTCTCACTAATTTTACCTCTGAAAACAGGTGACCCCAACCTCCTTCTTTCGAAAATATCTCGACTTGTATTCAATATAAATGGATATTTTTTTCATCCAAAAAAAGACAAGTGAACAAGCTTTAAGATGATTCCAATAACTCTTCATGCCAAAAAATTGACGAGAGCCTGATTCCACCACGCTGCCTCTCATATTCCTTCTTGAAAATTAATTACGAACCGAACTGTCTGCCCTGCGATTGGTGCACTCTTTCAGTGCCTGGAAGGGAGTTTTTGTGTGTGTGTGGGGGGGGGGGTTCTTAGCTTTTCCATTACTTGGACGCAGCTTCTCGGGCCTTCTACAATGGAACACTCTGTCGCCATTCTGCCCGCCGGGGTTGTTTTGGTTCCAAGCCAGGTTTCTAGGATCTGTTCCTATCTGCTTCTGTTAGGTCTCACCTTTTTAATTCTGCCCTTGCTACCAGAACATGCAAGCAGGGAGTTCCACTTGATTGAATGAAAGGAAATCAAACTGTTCACAGGGGGCTCTCGTTGCTTTGAGGTTAAGGTGTTTGACTCTCCTTCAAAGGTCCCTGGTTCGAATCCGGGTAGCGACCGAAAAATTTTCTTCTCTAAATCCTTTCACCTCCTTTCCTGCTCTCTTGCAATGTTCTGCAGTCTGATTTCATCTCCACTTTCCGCTCCCTCTCTCTCACTTCCTTTGCCCAATCCTCTGGGCTCCTGGCTCTTTCTGCAGCCTTTCTACTGCTTCTCCTTGGTTACTTTTTACTAATCTCTTTCAGCCACACCCCTGATCTTCTGATAGGAAAGGTCTATACCTAGCCTACTCGGACAACGGTGATAAATCTCGAAGGCCCCGTGTGCAAGTTGCGCACGTTAAAGATCCCGTGATGGTCCAAAGTCGATAAGAGTAGGCTTCCGCCGTCACCCGGGCAAAATTCCAAATTTCCTACCAACTGAAAATGTTCGGTGCGTCCCGTGCGCTCATATGACCTTCTGCAGTTGCGAGCGCCGTAAGATAACTTTCCACCCCCCGCCCCCCAAAAATAACCCCCCCAAAAAACAAAAACTGTTCATGTCATGCACATTTCACCTATGCAGATGTCATTGTCAGACAAAAGGACAGAACAAGGGTCATGCTGGGAAAGCATTCATCATCACGTAGTCCTAGTTTGTGACAAACCTTAAGTAGGAGCAGTTTCCTACGTACAGAGGCATCCTGGAACACAATATTGGGCGTTACGATAATGATTGTTCTTAACAGCAAATTTGTAAACTGGTCAAAACGCCAGTCTTGAGACGTCTTTACACCAGATTTCTAGATCTGTGGGGAGTCTTTGCAATTTGTTTAAACTTAAAGAATCAACTTGAAAAAAGAAGATGCTTTCAAAATTAGAACTTTCATATTGTAACAGGTTGAAATTTGTTGTAGAAATATGACAGTCGAAAGGCGAAAAAAGGTAGACAACCAAATTATCTTTATTTTTTATGATCTCTGTCAAATGCAATTTTAAAAGAAGTGGGTAGAAGGTTTGGGAAAGAAAGGGGGAGGGGAGCATTCTGAACAATAAGAGGACAAATGTTACAAATAATGACCTCGTGGTGCCTAGACGATTAACAGAGATCTTCACAACCTTTAGATGGGTGGCCATGTAAAGCGTGCCCTTGAGCTACAGTATAAGACACTCGCTTATGGACAAACAGCAAGGATGTGTCAGCTTTACTGAAAGTGGTGGTACCTTGTTAGGTGTTGCCAGCTGAAAAGTGTGAATTATCGTACTCATAGTAATTAATATGTTGTGAATTATTGTATGCATAATAATTATCATGTTAAATAATTGTAAACATGTTATCCATATCAAAGAAGTGAAAAAAGACGCCTTTATGATTACGTCTTTCTGAAGACACCTTTATTCCCAAAGTGAAAAGAGCTCTTTTCCTTCTTTTCCCAGGCGAGCAGGTCAGAGCTGTGTTAGAGTGTTTGGTAGTTTGGTAGGAGAACGATAATAATTGGAATGTTTTACGAGCTTCCAAAGATTGTGTATAACAAGATATTCACTCCTCTCTTTGAGCCAATTAAAAAGTGCCCTCAAAATTCGGTGGCGCCATCTTTGAAAAAGCACTGACCCTGCGAACAGAGTTAACCTACTTGTGTGAAAAACAATAAAAGCGAAACTAACGAACTGTGCTATTCCTATTCTTCTTCTGGAGAAACGAAAGAGAGCTTCAAAACAAAGACTGCGCGCTATCTGAACCAATGCGCGGACTTCCGCGGACACCTCTTTGGCTGAGTGAACTATCTTGTTATGTACGATCTTTGATAATAATAGGAATAGGAATGTTTTACGTGCTGCAGAAGGTTAGTGTGTTTCGATCAGGATCAGGGAAATCCGGAGAAAACCACAAAGGTATCAATTGGTTGACACCTTGTCACACCTTGTCCTCAGTGTTGGGGTCACTACAGTCGGAAAATGTCCGTCTCTTCTCCCAACTCCTCTACATGATCCATCCCAGAGTCTGTCGGCTTACAGTCTCCATCATAATCTGGTTGGAGATGCGTCGGACTGGTCCGCACAGGTAGCTGTAGTTCCATTCTCCTCTTTGGATCCCCTTCTCATTCAATCTACCTAGGGTGTGGGAACCGCTATCTGCCCATACTCTTCCATTTAAATAATATGCTGGGTTTTAAAAAAAAACAAATTACTGGCAGTTTTCAGTTTTGGGGTAAAACAAAAGGCCAGCTTTACATTTAAGCTCCTTCCTCGTCACAACAGGTTGGTGGGTCCAGTGTCAAATTCCCTCCCAGATTGGTTACATTTTTTAACTTAAAAAAATATGAGAAGTACTTTAAGAGAGATCAAATCTTTTGATTCATTCCAATGTCAGCTGAAGTCGTTTCTGTTTTTAAATTAATCAGATGAATATTTGGAATAATTTTCTTTTAGTCAGAACACAACGTTTTATGTTACTGTTGTACGTTGTACTGTATTGTAAAGCGCTCAGAGCCTGTGTACTTTAATCGGGGTTGAGCGCTGTATAAATGTCATCTATTATTAATATTATTATTACTATTATTATTATTAAGTAAGGTGTTTGAAAAGCTAATAGGTGCACGATATAGAAGGCTCACCTTTGCCCCAGGGGAGCCTGGCATTCCGTCAAATCCTGGGAGTCCGGTGGTACCCTCAGACCCTGGCTCGCCAGCTTCACCCTAGAATTAGAGGTGGGTGGGGAGGGGAGGAGAGGGAGGAGGGAGGAGTTTTGTCAGGGTGAAATATTTTAATTGTGTGGGAAGAAACAAGGGTTGATTACAATAGTGGTGTACAGTTTTGCCTGTGTGAGGTGAACTTGTGTGTATATATGTGTGTGTGTGTGTGTGTGTGTGTGTGTGTGTGTGTGTGTGTGTGTGTGAGTGTGTTATATATATATATATATATATATATATATATATATATATATATATATATATATATATGTGTGTGTGTGTGTGTGTGTGTGTGTGTGTGTGTTTGTGGTGTGTATTTGTGTGTGTGTAAGCGTGTGTGCATGTGTGTATGTGTGTGTATGTGTGTGTGTGTGCGCGTGTGTGTATGTGTTTGTGTGTGTGTGCTATGTTGTTGTTTTTTTACAAAAAATCTTACATTTCCGCTCTCACCTACCCATGAGTTTGTCAAGCAATGCCCAGTCTTCCACTATTATAGGCTCTTGTCTAATTCAAAAGGAACTCTCCCATATTTGAAAGTGAAAATTTAGACTTTACTTTAAAAAAACGAGTACCCAGTTGTACTTTTGAAAGAAAACAAAAACAAAAACAAAGCAACAGCAACTATAGATTTTTCCAAAACGTCCAAATGTATTTTGTGAAAGTATTCGCCAAAAAAGTGACTTGTCATGTCATAAGGATTGCAGACAAAGATCTGTGAGATAGGAAACATGTTTTAGGGAAGGGTGAGTTTGTTGTTGGATTGACACACAGAGAAATGAGCTTACCTTGTCACCTTTGTCGCCTTTAGATCCGGGGGTGCCCTGGAATGATGGCGTAGATGAAAAGATCATCAATATTGTAGTGGCGATAGAGGGAGAGAGAGAGAGAGAGAGAGAGAGAGAGAGAGAGAGACAGGAAGCTGTCTGGAAGCTGAGAATGTTTCGGAGTGTTCTACGGTCTGCTGGGGTAATAATATAGTGTAAAGCGCATAGAGCCTGCTGTTGAGCGGGGATATGCACTGTACAAATTATTATTATTATTATTAGAGAGAGAGAGAAAGTTAGAGACAGAGAAAGAGATGAAGACAAAAAGAGACAGAGACAGAGAACGAGAGTCCTGAAAGAAATTTGGGCATAAAAGGTCAATAGTATTGTTTTCTTTTAAGTTGTCAAAGTCGAATTGTTGCAGGTTATGTAAAATATTGTTGAAAGAGTGGCAGAAACAGCACACGGGTTACGTAAGTCTGAATCAGATAAAGAACGAGATGCAAAGAAAGGGTAAAAAGTAAACAGAGAGGAGGAATTAGCAAAGCGCCTAGATCTACTCGATTCCCAGAGCAGACAAGATAATGAGGACGTATAAGTGACAGAAGTTTTTTCTCCCAGAATTCCTCTAACGAGTCAGGTTCCCCCCAGTGTCAAAGTTTACAAGACACTTTGGCTGAGATCCCACTGTTACATGAGCTCGCCGAATTCTGAAGGAGCACTCACTCACATGTTTTAGATTTTAATCTATAATGACTTAAAACTATCATAGCTACACCGTCTCTCTATCGTAATGTATACTGACATAATGTACAGGAAGCTTACACGCACACACACACACGTACACTTACACGCACATAAACACACACAAACACACACAAACCTACAACCACACACACAAACACAAAAACACCCACAGTGTCTTTTTCTCTCTGTCTTTCTCGCTTTATCTCTCTCTGTCTCTTTCCCCCCCCCCCCCCCCTCTCGCTCTCTGTCCCCCCCCTCTCTCTCTCTCTCTCTCTCTCTCTCTGTCTGTGTGTGTCCCTCTCTATGTCTCTCTCATACACACACAAACACACACACACACACACACACACACACACACACACACACACACACACATACACACGCAGTCAAACACGAGCTCATAATTATATAAAAGTATTATTTTAGTCTATACAAAATATTTTGGTCTGACATAATTGTATCTCCCACATCCTCTTTCACCACCCCTGTTCTTTATTTTAAGTTTAAACAACATTGTCTTAACTAATACTTCTTACAGTTCGAGGAATGTATGGCTCTTATCGTCTATGCAGACGGTCAATTCAGGTTAAGATGGTCTCAAGGTTGTCTTCATGCAGCTTCTTTCATGACTAATTCATCCTATGTTTGAAGCGCGGATTCTGTCGCAGTGCTTGCATGTTAGTGACGTAGATCGAAGCTCTGTATTTCCGCTGTTTTCCTTTCGTCGTTGGCGCTTCTCAGCCTGGTTGTTTCTAAGGCTGCTCTCTAGCATTATAGTTCTTTCCTTTATCACTTTCCTCCATGTTTTCCTGTCCTCAGCTATTTCTTCCCAGATGCTAACATCTATTCCAAGCTTAAGTTCGAGGAATATCATATAACATATTGTAATGTGTACTCTATATTGTGCAAAATTTGAGTTGAATATCGAAGTGCATTCTTCTGTTTAATACATTATTATCATTTTTCATCAAACCAACCAAAGCTGTGTTTTCAGCCAAAAAGCCAACCACATGCAGATTACGCCAAGAGCAGGCAATCAGATGTCGATGCAGGTCGAAGTTCCATTACTGACATTGATAAGTGGGGCTCTTTTAATGTAAAAAAAAGGATGGGGCCAAATTTATAATGGCTGAGCTGAATTGAGCTGAGCCTCCTAAGACACAGAAATACAGTAAAGCGCGGTGGGTCGCCTATTTGTTTGAGATATAAAGCCACAATAGAAAATGTCTGGGGCGATAATCAAGCATTTCTGTCTTTCTGCTGGGATTTTGTATCCTTCTCAGTCCAGCCTGGTCCTAACAGGCAGCGTTGAAGCTCGCCTCCTAAATAATCTAAAATGTGTCGACGGGAGGTGTAATATATCATATTAAGAGAAACAATATCAGCAATAGTATCTGTATTCCGACCTGGCTTGCCATATTTGTGTTTTGAAATCATAGTCGTCCACACGCATACGCGCGCGCACGCAAACATACACACACACTCACACACATACATACACACACCCACCCACCCATGCAAACACATGCATGCACAAAGACACACACACACACATTCAAACAAAAGTATATCCTTTCCCCACCAGCTATATTACAAGACACAGCCTTACACCTTCCTTGGTTCCAAAGGTAATGGCGCAATGTCTCTCCTTAGGAGAGTGCCAAAGAAGTCAGAATCTGAAGGGAGGGAAGTAATACTTGTGCAATCTACTTTTTCTAAGTCATCCACCAAGGCAAAGCTGTATCATGCATACTGCTCTAAGATCGTCTTTCAAATCGCAAAAATGCCAAAAGGCCATGAAAGTCATTCTTAAATGGTCGCTTTTAAGGACAAGCAGGCTAACCCAGATTTCGGGGGTTTCCAGAAATCTTGACCTACACCAAAAGTAGGCATTGTCCTGCCTTTAGGAGAAGTTTGGTTTAATTGGTGTGTATATTTGTTTGGTTAAAGAGAAAACTCTCCTTGTCTTTTAAACAAACTGAACAAAGGGCAAAAACGTTACCTTTGATTTTCTTAATTAAAACAGCATTTTTCGGGATAGCCCCCTTGTGCTTAAAAACGACCATTAATAGAGTCTGTTCTTCTTCCTTCCGTAAGAAAACAAGACTGCTGGTACCCAAACAAAACAAAGTACTTCACGACAGTTCCTTACCAGTTCTCCAGCTTTTCCTGGTGGCCCTATGGGTCCCTATAGACGTTAGGTGAAAGAAAAACACTCTGTGTTATATCGATGCTCCAATATGCATATCATTACAATATTATTGTTAAACAAAACAAACTTCTAAAGGAAGTGTGAGAATTAAAATTTGGGGAAACTCAATTGTTACACTGAAATAGTTTAGCTCCTGCGCATGATCATTCTGCACTAAAATAGTTAGAGCATCATTTGAGCTAAATCAATTGTTACGGCTAAAACATTTTAGCTACAGCAGATGATCATTATGCTGTAAAAAGATGTTATTAAGACTTCGTTATGTAAAACAACCCCTGTTAAAGATAAAAAGCTACACAAACCAAGGCTAGGTGTGGGCTTTGTTTCTTGGTAGATAAATTAAATTGTAACTCGTCTTCTCTTACAAAGTCAGCTTTCATTGACACAGTTTTATGAGTTTCTCTTCAAAGTCAAATTGCAAGAAAGCGACGTAAACATACACGTTAAAGAAGTGCACGTATATCCTAAATGTATAAGAACACAAATTATGATGCAAGTATAAATTTATTAATTGAGCGGATGTATGGGTGTGAAAGTCTTAGGACTAGATCTAGTGTCCAGAAGTCGTGACATAGGTGCATTTTGTTTTGTTTTGTTTTTGCTGTTGTTTTCATAATTTGTAGGTGTGTGTGTGTGTGTGTGTGTGTGTGTGTGTGTGTGTG